GTTTCAAATGCGAATTTTAGGGTAATGCAGTTGGCACCAGGAATGATTCAACAGGTTCAGTCGCCTTGCTCCAATTGTAAAGGTGCCGGTGAGATAATCCCAGCCAAAGATCGCTGCAAAGGCTGCCAGGGGCAGAAGAAGGTTTGCAGTTTTGCTAATTCTCCACTCTTTATTTCGTTGTAAATTTAATCTGTTTTTGGGTAATAGTGTTTGAGCAAATTTCAAGTTCTTGAAGCGCCATTTGAGAAAAGTTTAGACCGATTTGCTCTTTTGCATAGGACTGCTTTTGAAAAATCTCGACTGACTTTTTTGTTCCTGAGATATTGTTTTTTTTTGGTGTGTTGTTTTTGAGATATTCTGAATGTGTAAGTACCGGAACTATGAGCTCCGCATAAATGGGTGCCTAGTTTTAATAACATCTCTTGCTTAGTTGTGATACTTCCGACGAAATAGGAGTGTTCATTATAGCGAAAAGTCGAAGAAATCCTGGAAGTTCACGTAGAAAAGGGAATGAAAGACGGTGATAAAATCATGTTCGAAGGAAGAGGAGATGAGGATCATGACGTGCCTCCTGGTGACATCGTTATTATTCTCGACGAAAAAGTAAGTGATTTGCGCCAGGAAATTGCGTTTTCAACAACTTAAACGATTGTAAAGAAGTCTCATTTTAGGATCATAACACTTTCTTCAGAAAGGGTGATAATTTGGTTATGAACCTTGAAATCGAGGTGAGTACCTCTTTGGAGGTTCTTCTTTTCCATGGAAGACACTCGCGGTAACTTTTAAATTGCAGCTTGTCGAAGCGATGTGCGGATTCTCTCGTGTGATCAAAACCTTAGATGATAGAACTCTCTTTTTCAACGTCTTACCAGGTGATTAAAATAACCAGTTAAATCCTCAGCATCTTCTCCAGCTCTCAAAGACGGAAATGCATGGCTTGTTTTTCAGGCGAGGTTATTAAACATGCAGATATGAAAGTTATCTATGGAGAGGGAATGCCACATCGAAGGAATCCTCAGGAAAAGGTCTGGTTTGAGCTCTTCGTTTCATAGGTTTAGGCACGAATGCTGGTATACCCACGTCACTATGAAAATGATTTCTACTGAATATACGGTTTTCTTAAGTGATTCATTCTCCACAGTTCCGCGTATATTTCCCTGAAAATTGACTCTAGCACTGAAGAACTTTCGGCTTGCCTGGCAAAAAGTAAGTTCGAAACCATTATCGGCATTTCTATATCAATTCTTGTTACATGGAATATTATCTTAATGACATAAGTATTTGAGTTAAATGAAATAAGTAAATCGTTATCGCATTAGAAAGTCACCACGCTGCGAAGAGATTACGCTGCCAACACAATAAAGTTCATATGTGATTTATCTGTTCGGATGACATCCCTCCCTGTGGTTTATGTCCGTTATAGTCTTAAACCTTTAATAGATTAGATTCACTTGGTAGTGAACTCTAATGGTTGAGTGAATATTGGCGTTGTACAGCTTACATTCACAACTTTTATTACCTTGTTCTCATTGTCTGTAGGCGCTCTATTCCTTTCCTCATTTGTTTCAAATGGCTTGATTGCCGCATTATAAGTAAAAGCGTTGTATCTCGTAACAATTCCCATCCTTCCCTTTTTACATTAAAAAGACCATTGAATGTTCTGGAAGCTTTCCATTGTACCCGTCGGACTTCGTATAACTTCGTATAATGTATCAAACTCGATTATATTGTTTGAAACGTATACAGAGCCGACGCCGCGCATGAGCGCCACTCCTAGTGCATGAACTGTCTTGCGAGTCTCTGGGAGAGAATGCAGTATTTGCTAACGTTACTTTCTGAAGTTCGCCATAATAAAGAGATGCTGTCTGGAGTACCACGCAGCGTTGTCATGAGTTTATTTCGGCTAAGTAAGAATCAAAATCGGAATAAATGAAACTCAAAGCGTTGGACAAACTGAACAAGTAGATCCAAAAAAGCTCACTGGATGCACGTCTATAATGAATTTGAGCAAAAATATGCAACTGACAGCGTGGAAAACAGGAAAGAGATAAGGGCCACGGGCACTGAGGGGGCCCTTATAAGAAGGATGACGAGCTCGCAGACGTCGATGAGCAGCCAAAGCGACAGCAGCACCACAAACTCCACTCGTGAATCCTCTCGAATCACAGTTGTACACAGAGGAAACGATGCCAATATGAAGGGGTCCTGAAACAAAAATCCTCAAAACACGATTTTATACAAATCTTTAATTTCTTCTCCCACCTGGTTAAAGAATAATGTGCAGGTCAGAACTATATGTGCTAACAGACACAGAAAATACCCTGAAATCGTATCAACCATGGCAGTGTACTCATTTTCCTAGAACATGTTCCATCTGCGCGGTTGCCTGGTGACCATGGCGACAACTTCCGGAAGTTTTCGTGCTCCAGTGACAATTTGTTCTTTAGATGTGCAGGAAGTCGACTCTACAGTAGCCCTTTCATTTCTTCCCATTTCTTTTATTTTCCTAAAACTGGTTTCCTCAATTTTGAAATGTTTGAGATGTTTTTGGTGCTTTGTAATACGTACAAAATGTTCTAAAAGTATGTTTAGCTTTGGGACGTGCATCCGAGAGCTTCTCGTTTAGGGGTTGACGCGGAAATGTGCATGTCTAGTCATTTTTCGAGCTCGTCGTGTTCCTCCACAATGTATTTCGTTCTAGCAATCATTCAACGTTCTTGCTTTTTCATCTGTCTCAATTCGTGGATTTTTGTAGATTTCATGATTTGATTTTGAGGTCATTCCAGGGTAAAGATGATACGGTTAAGAGAAGAAATCATGGAAGAAACAAAAAGAATCGAGGACGTTGTACGTTCATTCGCTGCACAAACTGTGGGCGCTGTTGTCCCAAGGATAAGGCTATTAAGAAGTTTGTTGTAAGAAATATCGGTCGAAGCTGCGGCTGTTCGTGATATTGGAGAAGCTTCTGCATATATGCGTGAGTTTTCAAGGCTTATTCCAGTCGTACAAGACTACACTCACACCTGAATGCTTTTTTTCAAGTCGGGTTTTTTGTTATTTATACGAAATTGGACCACCATAGTTTTATACAAAGAGTTGGGTCTTTTTCTTTAAGTTTGTTGAGATAATTTGTTCTATAAGAGGTCCTTTAGAACTACTCAAGAAGTATAGCTCACAATGGATAGAATCTGAACTCTGTGAAATGCTCCTCAGTACTCGAAGTTCTTGACTGGTTCTTCGAGAATGTGGGTCAGTGTTGCTCTCCTCTCACTTCTTGAAATAGATACATAGTTTGGGCTGAAGATCCTGAGTGAATTGTAGGTTCAAGTGTGTTTGAGGAGGGAAGAACCATCTAGGGTACGCATTCATACCTTAACCCTTTCTTCCAATGCAAACGTACAGAAACAGTGCTCACTTCATTGTTTTTTTTTTTTCGCCGTGTTCACCCACCGCTAGCTTCTTCTCACTCAAGGTTGAGGTTATTGTAGGTGGCACAACATATTTCTTGGGTTATTTTTTGTACCTCCATCCATGCCATCCCTTCCTAAGCTTTGCCCATGTGATCATAACTTGTCCCTTCTAATAGCATTAATGTTGTTATCTTGATGTTATACCGGTCTTTTTCTTACTTATTTAGCATTTTTTTCATATCTTATTATCTCTGCTATCTTATTCTTGCCATGCTACTTTTCAAGTATTGCATATCTCTCCACCTCAGCCTCTTCCAAACCGACTTGACTTCTTTTCTACAAGGGGAATTTCGCAATTCCGTGGGGAAGACCTTAATAATGGGATGGTATTCACAATTGTGTTTTTTTTATTTTTTGGTGGGGTGGCCATGTGACTTCCGCTAATAGTTTGCGTTTCGAGAGGGCTTAATTTGAGCGAACGATGTTGCAAACTCGAAAGTAAACCACAGGCGATTTTGAGCTACATCCTCACAACTCGTGCCATCGGTGCCACCTCTGCTTGCATCAGCAGAAATTTTCGTATTATGTTTGCTCAATATTTGAACTCCAGTGATTGGAAAGCGACTCTTTGACTTGTATTTTTTAGTAAGGGTTAATTTTGTTGATGTATAGCAATGACCAGTTTTGCTATGTTGATTTGCTCATTTTAACTACGCGCACTCATTTTCTGGGGGATCCACCCGTGGAGTTCTAGGGTATTAAAAAAATGTCCTTATAGAAGTGGGGCTTTTGAAGGCTGAGGTAGGCTTCGGTTCAGGTTAATATTTTGTAAATCGCTCTTGAATGAATCAAGCGTCCGTTAATTGACGGCTGTGAGTACAGCGACATGTATGTTTGTAAACTAGTAAGTGATCTGGGGCTCAGATGCTGTGGTGGCGGTAGAACTCCTCCTCAGACGCACTGTCTGTGAGTCAAATTTCGGATCGAATGTGGGCAACCAAACCTCCTATTTTCCGGGGAGATCATTTCGCCGTGGCTCAGGTTTGTGTGGGAAACGGCTACTTTTTAGCTCGCTTATGCGTGTGCATACTAAAACGTATTGGTTCCAAAAGCTTTATCCTTCTAAGTGATACGTGATTTGTAAAAAGCCGATGGTCTATGCAATGAATCCTGTCGGGCAAGTATAAAGTATCTAATGTGTTCACCAATTTTCCTTAACACATTTGATCTTTAGTTGTTGATCCGAGAGTTAGATACCAAGAAACTCCCTCTCGACTTCAGCGGAAAGCCTACAATTGCGTTGAGAAAGGCACCTCCTCTTGCAGATGTTTTGGATACACAACGCTTCTTTCCTCTGTTCTGCGAAAATATTTCCTTATGAAACCTTCGTGAGTCCCAGTACGACATCAGCGTAGTGACCTTGAAGTCTTCAACCTCATTGTTTTCCAGCTATTAGAGACGCAAATTCATAGTAAAGCTTCATCAATTAAAACTAAATTTTTCGTCTTAGAAATGATTCGACTTAGAAAAAACGTAGTCAGTTTGTCCGCATTTTCACCAGGTGCTGAATCAGAGTCGAAGAGTCAACGAAAAGTTTTTCCTACAAAATGTTTCAATTTGCCAATTCACTGGATATTTGGAGAGAATCGTGGACCTGGCGGAAAGCGAATTTATGTTGTGGTTTGGACCCGGTCACTGAACTTCTATAGCGTTTATAGTCGATTTTATGTAATAGGTTGTAGGGAAAGTTCTCGCGGTTTTTGACACATATCATTACCTTAATTTTTTATCAACAAGAAAACATATTAGGAAACAAAGTAATCACCATCACGTTCTATCACTCTTCGCCATTTTTCGGGCAGACTTTTGATGCCTTCGGCAAAGAACTTTTCTGGCTTCGATTCAAAAAAGTTGCTCAACCAGAGCTCAACGTGCTTCGAAAAACCGCGAGAACTTTCCCTACAACCTAATATATTGTATGAAAAATCCAGATTTTCCCTGCAGCTAATAATGTGTATGATTTATTGTTAGTAGGGTGCAGATGCTCGACCTGTTATTCAGCGTCATGAATGGTTCGGATTCTACATCTGAATTGTCCCATAATAAAGCTTCTGCATTTAGAGTATGCTCTGCCGAAGCTCTACCACAAGCTACACTACTGCGTTGCCTGCGCAATTCACAGCAAAGTCGTGCGTAACAGATCCGAGATGCTCGAAAGGACCGCAATCCTCCTCCTCGTTTCGGTCAGCGTTCCGCTCAGGCCCGACCTGGAGTCCTGCGGACTCGTCCAGGAATGGGGTTGTCCCTCGTTGTTGTATTTTCAGTTTTTCTTAAATCTGTATAATATTAGTTCTCAATATAAACATCAAGATGAAGTGTTCTGCTTTGGCACGTGCGCGCCGACATACTTTCTCCCACACATAAGTAGTAATGTGAGGAGCATTATTGTTATATCAATTGACGGTGGAAATGAAAACAAGTTGTTTCTTTCTTCCGCTGGCCATATGGGAAAATCTTTCATAGATTTCTGAAATCATCATGTTTTGTAAGCAGTTTGTGGACCTGTTAATGCACTAAGTTTTCAAGCAAATTTTACCGTATAGAAAGGAGTCAAAGAGTTCCCACGTGATGTTCGCGCTGGGCATGGGCAATAACTGAAACTAGATTATATAGCATTCAGTATATCGTTCTACTTCTTAACAGCAAATAGATTTTGAGATGTGTGATTGTTTAAAGGCAAAAGTCGGGCTCAATAAGGGGGTATTATGGCGATTGAAACTGAGTATAGAGATGCGAAGTGGAACGACAGTGGAGAAAAAACTGAGAAAAACCGTCGACAAGGCCGTTAACAAAACCCTCTTTCCCACTAGCAGTGAAGGAGGCTGGCTTGGGAAAGAGGCACGTACAAACAAGTTTTCTGGAGATGTCAGTCGTTCTATCGGTTGATACGGCAATCAACCTAGCTGATTTCACACGTTATGCCAGCCACGCACCACATCCCAAGGTGGGCGGTCGTAGCGGGGCCAGGCGGCGATAGCGCATAGTACATGCCCTGGGGCCTTATTACCGCGCCGTTCGAGATTTTGAGCGTGGGAACATCTGTACTGGTGCGTAACCAAGTACAGAGATGACCGAAAGGGTTGGTTTGGTCAACTAATCCCGACCTTTGCCTTTAAGCACGCTGACAAAATCTTGAAATTAGTCATGAAGTAAGCGTAAATGCTCTATCTGGACTTCCCAAATCGACGAAAAGCTACATCTTTGTGTTTTAGTTGTGGACTGTATTAATACATAATACAATCGATTGCACCACTCGATTATCTTGACCAGGTGGGCCGTCTGCTCAGGTTCTCCTTGTTTACCGGGCAACCCACTGTTTTTCCTGGGCGGTCCCACGCGGTCCTTGGTGGTCCCATAGTAGGTATTTGCGTAGAAGGCATGCCGGGCCATCCATCCGGTCCCGCCTTTCCTCGAGGACCCGGTGGACCTGGTGGGCCTGAAAAGTTCAATTCAGAGGAGTCATCAAGTCATGCTTCGCTTGTATTACTATAATAGTTCGAATAGTTCTGTGCTTGTAATTATTATAATAGTCTTATATTTTTTTTGTTCGCATTATTGCAACTTCAGCATTAAAAGTTGCACCTCTTTGTCCTTGACCTGTGAAGGCATCTGGAGCTGGAATGCCAGGCGGACCTGTGGGGGCCGGGTTCTCCGGGAAATCCTGGAAGACCTTGTTCAACTCCAATGTCGCCTGGATTTCCATCTTCACCATTTGCTCCGTCAGAGCCTCGAGTGCCTTTGTCTCCCTCCTTCAAAAGATATCTTTTCTCAGTGCAAGTTGAGTGTATCACGAAGGCTTACCGGCGACCCTCGTTCTCCTTGTGGTCCAGCTCTTCCTGGCTTCCCAGATGGACATAGACAGGCATTCTCCTTCGTACACGTCCAGTGAACCGTCAATTCCAGGAGGACCGTCTAGACCTGGAACTCCTTCTGGGCCATCCCATCCATTAAGCCCTGAATGATTGGAAAACAGGACTTTTCGGTGGAGAAATAGTCGAGGGGGGAGGAGGGAGAGGAATGGGGCTGTGCTTTTGAATACGGTAGGCGCGCCGCAATAGCGCCACGAGGAACTATGATCGATGGTCAAGTAAGTGAGGGGGTTCTCCAGGGTGTATAAGCTATTTTTGTTTTCCTCCGAATCCCTTCCCCTCCTAGGTTTGAGCTGAAAAGGAAAAGAACATTCCAGTCCGCAAAAAAAGTGGAGTTATAAGCCGAACTTTATAAAATGAAGGTTAGTGTCGCAATAGTCGTTGCGTTCTTTATGCGCTTACTGTCCTAAAAACCGAAGATACCCTCTTCCCCCTTCGCCCGACTAGTTTGCTCTAAAATCTCTTCACCCGTCGCTAGTGCTCAGGTGATCGGCTCATCTCCATATTCTGTAGTGAAGGCGTAGGCGTGCTCACCTGCAAGTCCTGGAGGCCCCCGACATTCAGTTGCAGTTACTGACGAGGGTTCATCGTTACGTGCGCTGACTCCTGCGGAGACTAGCTCCTCCAGGTCAGATTCTGCTAAGCTCTGCCATTCTTGTGATGATGAGTGAGGAGTGTCCTTTGGAAGGTCGCCTACAAAATTCAGCTAGTGGTTGTTGATTACAGTTCCATAACAAACTCTGGCACACTTTTTAGAGAGCTTCCTTATCCGAATGAGGATTTCACGACAATGACGGAGGTCGAAGAAGGATAAACTCATTTAGCGGAGAAACATGCGGGCCTCTTAGGGCCGATGTCAGACTTTGCGAATCGCGCGATTCGCTAGCGTCTGCGGTCGCGTCGCGGCCAGTGAATCACTCAATTGGCTGGTACCGCAACGCGACCGCGGACGCTAGCGAATCGCGCGATTCGCAAAGTCTGACATCGGTATAAGGGTGTGAACCGACGTGCAATTCTCGTCGAAGATATGTCCCGGCGATCTAGCATGACCTTTCCCGAGATGCAGTTGGCGCGTTATTGGCGCAACACCCCCCCCCCTCTCGCGTCGTCTCGTGTCTGAGTCTCTAGCCGTTTAGCAGAGAGAGTTAGCGTTGAAGAGGGCAGCACCGATGAGAGTCGCATCAATGCGCAAATCAACGGGCAAGGAAATGGGTCCCATTTCTCGGGTTCTAGGCCATTTTCTCGGCTTTTCTTCTTTCACTGACAATCTCTAACTTCCAATGAGCTGCCTTTTCATTCGCCTGAAAATCCCCCTCTGATGCTTACTCGAAGTGAATCTTATAAGGATGTTGTGCAGAAGTCCGCCCATTTAAGGACACGCCCATTGTGGGCAGGCTCCGCAAGCATGCTTGGTACATCTCAAACATCACCCTTCATCATCAATGTTTATTTACTGTCGACTTTCTTATGGAGGAGTTAGAAATTACCTCTTTGTACTGATGGAGGATTTAGAAAATTACCTAACCTATCAGACAGGTAGAGAATGTGGAGTTACTATTAGACAGCTTGAAGTAATACCGCCTGGGGCGGCGCGACAACGTAGTGCACAAGGTTTACTCCAAACTTCCTGATCTACGCGGTTTGTTCTGAAATGAATGAGGGCTTTTTGTTCGAAGGACTCTGTTTATTTCGCACACCCTCACGCCTGACCTGCGCCTTCGCTATCTTGCGATGTGTTTTGTACTTCTTTGCCATGCTTTCTCAAACCCTCTGCGTTGCGCCTCTTTAGCGAATCCTCAGGTGACTGTTCCACGTTACCGCGGTCGGACAGACAGGCAAGCAATGTGCAGACAACGAAGTGCTATAGTATGTTTAGTAACTAAAAGGGAAGACAAATAGAATTGGGCTACCTTGTGAGTCCTTCATGTCCATGGGCTCTCTTTTGGAGCGAGTAACGTCGTTGAATAAATAATCTTTCCATTCGTCGGTGTTCGAATATTTCTGTAAAACGTAACATTTTGAAAAAGGCTATATTCACAAATATTTCAGCGGAAGCAGTATCCGGTGCGGCCGCTCATACGGCCGGAACGCTTTTTCTCTTTTTCTCCTCGGGCTTGAACGGCTAGAAAGCTGATGTGTGCGTAGACTACTCAGTGGGGGTGCGTAGCGAATAACGGCGCGGAGACACGCATATGCAGAATTTGCCGAGGCCAGTGTCCTTTCGCTAGCGATTGTGATGTGGCAAAAGAACTACTACCCTCGACAATCCCCTCTTAGGAATCTGTATTGCCTGTCCCTATACGAGCGACCATTATCGAGCTGGAAGTTTCCTTAAAGCAACAGTTCAGGGAGGGTCCGAAAATTTCAATGCCACTACTACTGAGGGATACACGAGCCCTAGTGAAGAACATATGCAGTGGAAATAATAAACGAACTTACCTCAGAAACTCAAAAACAGGGTGGAAAGTCCCTCAAACATGGGTGTTCTTGGGGATTTCCCCAATCCCGCCCCCTTGCCGGCCGTCATTGGACGCGTCGGCAATCGTGCTCGTTTTGGGACCACAGGGAAAATTGATTGAAAAATGGAGCGCGTTTACAGCGGGCACGTTCAGACAACTCGTCCAACGTGCGTCTTTATCCATTGCTGAGCGGCAGAGGGAGAGTACCTGTCTAAGACCCTCCCCGACGTTTTTTTCCAGTTTTTCATACATTAATCGTCTGGTTTTCATCTACAACTTCATTATTGGTGGTTTTTTCCCGCGAAACCGTTCCTGAACTGTTGCTTTAATCAAAAATATATTGCTTGGACTGTTAGATTTTTTAAGCAGTACTCAACAGCACTGATTTTATTACTCTGGGGGCAGAATATCCATCACGCGGGTGGGGTGTGGCGTCTTATTTAGCGATTTTCGAGCATTCCTACTTCATCACAGTTTTTGCATTCAAGCGTCATCTAAGCTGACGTTCTGCTTCAAAAGCAACTCCCTTGAACCTTTGAAAGCTGCAACCCCTTATCTAGAAGAAGGATACGGATGGCAGTATAGATAGGATGAAAGATAGCTTGGGCTGATGACAGAGAGCCTCCGCTTGGTACAGGGAAGTGGTTTATGCGCTGGCGCTATAGGAGGCAGACCTTCTGGCCGTGTACCCCATAACCCTTTTGAAGTATTGCATTACCTATGGGGCTTGACAGCAATCTTATCTGGATGTTGACTTCGTCACTCACTGGTGATGGCATCATCGCTCACCTTCAGAAGATCCATTCTTTTTGAGAACAACTGTTTACTCTCATATAGCTTCTCAATCTGCGATGGCACTACAAAAAACATCAGTACAAGACAAGCGGTTGCAAACACCAACGAAAGGAACACCAGAAAATCCCAAAGTGAACCTGAAATAGAAAAAATCTGAGAGACAAAAGAAAGAAGAGAGTCTTCAGAAGAGAAGAATCTTCGAAAGTG